GGTCTACTTTTACTGGGAAATAATTTCCCTCTTTCCTACATATTCTAACTTGAGCCTCACTATCCTCGTAAAAACTCTTCACTGCTTTCAGTAACCTACTTCCTATACCATACACCTGCAACATCTGCCACATTGCCCCCCTATCCACCCTGTCATACGCCTTTTCCAAATCCATAAATGCCACAAAAACCTCTTTAGCCTTATCAAAATACTGTTCACTTATATGTTTCACTGTAAACACCTGGTCCACACACCCCCTACCTTTCCTAAAGCCTCCTTGTTCATCTGCTATCCTATTCTCCGTCTTACTCTTAATTCTTTCGATAATAACTCTACCATACACTTTACCAGGTATACTCAACAGACTTATCCCCCTATAATTTTTGCACTCTCTTTTGTCCCCTTTGCCTTTATACAAAGGAACTATGCATGCTCTCTGCCAATCCCTAGGTACCTTACCCTCTTCCATACATTTATTAAATAATTTCACCAACCACTCCAAAACTATATCCCCACCTGCTTTTAACATTTCTATCTTTATCCCATCAATCCCGGCTGCCTTACCCCCTTTCATTTTACCTATTGCCTCACGAACTTCCCCCACACTCACAACTGGCTCTTCCTCACTCCTACAAGATGTTATTCCTCCTTGCCCTATACACGAAATCACAGCTTCCCTATCTTCATCAACATTTAACAATTCCTCAAAATATTCCCTCCATCTTCCCAATACCTCTAACTCTCCATTTAATAACTATTATTTTTTTTTTTTATTATCACACCGGCCGATTCCCACCAAGGCAGGGTGGCCCGAAAAAGAAAAACTTTCACCATCATTCACTCCATCACTGTCTTGCCAGAAGGGTGCTTTACACTACAGTTTTTAAACTGCAACATTAACACCCCTCCTTCAGAGTGCAGGCACTGTACTTCCCATCTCCAGGACTCAAGTCCGGCCTGCCGGTTTCCCTGAATCCCTTCATAAATGTTACTTTGCTCACACTCCAACAGCACGTCAAGTATTAAAAACCATTTGTCTCCATTCACTCCTATCAAACACGCTCACGCATGCCTGCTGGAAGTCCAAGCCCCTCGCACACAAAACCTCCTTTACCCCCTCCCTCCAACCCTTCCTAGGCCGACCCCTACCCCGCCTTCCTTCCACTACAGACTGATACACTCTTGAAGTCATTCTGTTTCGCTCCATTCTCTCTACATGTCCGAACCACCTCAACAACCCTTCCTCAGCCCTCTGGACAACAGTTTTGGTAATCCCGCACCTCCTCCTAACTTCCAAACTACGAATTCTCTGCATTATATTCACACCACACATTGCCCTCAGACATGACATCTCCACTGCCTCCAGCCTTCTCCTCGCTGCAACATTCATCACCCACGCTTCACACCCATATAAGAGCGTTGGTAAAACATACTCTCATACATTCCCCTCTTTGCCTCCAAGGACAAAGTTCTTTGTCTCCACAGACTCCTAAGTGCACCACTCACTCTTTTTCCCTCATCAATTCTATGATTCACCTCATCTTTCATAGACCCATCCGCTGACACGTCCTCCCAAATATCTGAATACGTTCACCTCCTCCATACTCTCTCCCTCCAATCTGATATTCAATCTTTCATCACCTAATCTTTTTGTTATCCTCATAACCTTACTCTTTCCTGTATTCACCTTTAATTTTCTTCTTTTGCACACACTACCAAATTCATCCACCAATCTCTGCAACTTCTCTTCAGAATCTCCCAAGAGCACAGTGTCATCAGCAAAGAGCAGCTGTGACAACTCCCACTTTGTGTGTGATTCTTTATCTTTTAACTCCACGCCTCTTGCCAAGACCCTCGCATTTACTTCTCTTACAACCCCATCTATAAATATATTAAACAACCACGGTGACATCACACATCCTTGTCTAAGGCCTACTTTTACTGGGAAAAAATTTCCCTCTTTCCTACATACTCTAACTTGAGCCTCACTATCCTCGTAAAAACTCTTCACTGCTTTCAGTAACCTACCTCCTACACCATACACTTGCAACATCTGCCACATTGCCCCCCTATCCACCCTGTCATACGCCTTTTCCAAATCCATAAATGCCACAAAGACCTCTTTAGCCTTATCTAAATACTGTTCACTTATATGTTTCACTGTAAACACCTGGTCCACACACCCCCTACCTTTCCTAAAGCCTCCTTGTTCATCTGCTATCCTATTCTCCGTCTTACTCTTAATTCTTTCAATTATAACTCTACCATACACTTTACCAGGTACACTCAACAGACTTATCCCCCTATAATTTTTGCACTCTCTTTTATCCCCTTTAATTTAATAACTCTCCTCTCCTATTTTTAACTGACAAATCCATTTGTTCTCTAGGCTTTCTTAACTTGTTAATCTCACTCCAAAACTTTTTCTTATTTTCAACAAAATTTGTTGATAACATATCACCCACTCTCTCATTTGCTCTCTTTTTGCATTGCTTCACCACTCTCTTAACCTATCTCTTTTTCTCCATATACTCTTCCCTCCTTGCATCACTTCTACTTTGTAAAAACTTCTCATATGCTAAATTTTTCTCCCTTACTACTCTCTTTACATCATCATTCCACCAATCGCTCCTCTTCCCTCCCGCACTCACTTTCCTGTAACCACAAACTTCTGCTGAACACTCTAACACTACATTTTTAAACCTACCCCATACCTCTTCGACCCCATTGCCTATGCTCTCATTAGCCCATCTATCCTCCAATAGCTGTTTATATCTTACCCTAACTGCCTCCTCTTTTAGTTTATAAACCTTCACCTCTCTCTTCCCTGATGCTTCTATTCTCCTTGTATCCCATCTACCTTTCACTCTCATTGTAGCTACAACTAGAAAGTGATCTGATATATCTGTGGCCCCTCTATAAACATGTACATCCTGAAGTCTACTCAACAGTCTTTTATCTACCAATACATAATCCAACAAACTACAGTATATTTCGCCTGCTCTTGCGAATTCCATGCATTGTTAATATCTCTAGTAAGGCTGATGCATGCAGGGGATGAGATGAAAAGCTGTAAGCCTTCTCCCTGAAAGTTGGCTGCCTTGGATCAAAGTCTAGCGCAAGCTGGACTGCAAGGTATTGGTCCAGTGTGGGTAGATTGGTAAAGCACTGCGTACCTTTTTCCAAGGTTCGTAGGTTCGAGTCTCCTTCAGCCAGAGATCAGTGTTTGTGTATATTTCGCCTGCTCTTGCGAAATTTCCCTTTCATTTTATATATTTATTTTATATATATATATATATATTATATATATTATATATATATAATATATATATATATATATATATAAAATATATATAATATAAAGAAATGGTATTTAGGGGACCACACTTGTTTCCTGGTTCCTTCTGTCATTTCCTCTGGTACTTTCTATATTGTGTTCTGGAAAACTTTTTTCACCGATGCTTGATCTTGCAATTTGTGGATTAGTTTCTTGTGGAGAACCTCGTTAAATACTTTCTTGTAGTCCAGGAGAATCCACTCATCTTCTCAAGCGTTTTATCAGTAACTGCTGTAGAACGAAATTCAGTAGGCTCGAAAGAGAGGATTAAGTTTATTTAAGTACTATTATCATACATAGTAACGCATCAATGCACCACGCAGAAACAAACGGGTATGTACAGAGAAAGATCGCAGTCAGCAGGACTCGATACTGCTACTGGGGCAGACAAGATTCCCAGGCAGTGCTCTTATCCACTCAGCCACAAATGCTATATAAGCTGGGCAGCCTGGTTCACAAGCCATGTTTCTTTCCCAGTCCGGGCACGTCAGTGAGCCTCAAGAATGGCTTCAAGCTATTTCAATTTCCTCCTGTATTTTCTGACCTCAATGCACCATGTAGAGACAAGTGGGCATATACAGAGAAAAATCGCTCACTGACGTGCCCGGGCTGGGAAAGAAACATCGCTTGTGAACCAGACTGCCCAGCTTATGTGGCTGAGTGGATAAGAGCGCTGCCTGGGAATCTTGTCCGCCCCGTAGCAGTATCGAATCCTGATGACTGCGACCTTTCTCTGTATGTGTAAATTACCCAAAAGGATAACCGAAGAAAGTCAGTGACTTATATCCACTGGGGTATTTGGATCCATCTGGGTTTCCAGTGACGAATTATTGTTTATCTGGAGAGTTTATCTGGAGAGAGTTCCGGGGGTCAACGCCCCCGCGGCCCGGTCTGTGACCAGGCCTCCTTAGGTCAGTGTCCCAGGATGCGACCCACACCAGTCGACTAACACCCAGGTACCCATTTTACTGATGGGGAACATAGACAACAGGTGGAAAGAAACACGTCCAATGTTTCTACTCTGGCTGGGAATCGAACCCAGGCCCTCACCGTGTGAAGCGAGAGCGTTAACCACCAGGCCACCCAGTTGCTCCACATACGACACATCGTATGTGATATTTATTTTATGTAGGCTGGAACAATAAGCTTCAATTATAGACGAAAAGCTACACTGAACGTTTTGTGTTATTACAAAGAATCTTACGATACCCTCCATCCTGCTGGACAGGGAATCTTACGATACCCTCCATCCTGCTGGACAGGGAATCTTACGATACCCTCCATCCTGCTGGACAGGGAATCTTACGATACCCTCCATCCTGCTGGACAGGGAATCTTACGATACCCTCCATCCTGCTGGACAGGGAGCACGTCAGTTTCACAAGCCTGTAGTTTAGTGTCTCATATCGTCCACCTATATAATTTACGATAGACCTTAATATAGATAGAAATAGATAGTTTTCGCATATAGAAGTAGACAGTTCTTGGCAGGTAGCTCGGAGTGCATTTCAAGTCGTATGCCGTTTTCCTCAGGTAGTTCTCCTTAAATACAGAGACTATTCAGCCAGCTATCTCTAGCGATATCTATGTGCGTGTGTATGTGCGTGGTGTGTGTGCGTGGCATGTGTGTACGTGTGTTCGTGGTGTACGGTGGGCGGGGCAGCGCACACTCGGTACACTGTGCGGCCGCGCAGTCGCTGAGAACTGCAGCAGACACTGTCTGCCGCTCAGTGGTGGTCGGTCCATCTCAAGGTGAGCATATGTCCTCGCTCTCCCTGTTGCCCAACATGGTTCCTTGCCTACCCAAGCTCACTTACCTCTGATCCTCACGAGTGTATACCCAAGCCGAGGTGAATGTGTAGTAGAGTAGCCCATTACCAACGTGATTACCACAGTATTGAGTGAGGAGGAGGAGGCTTCTGCAGGTGCGTCCTTCCTGGAGGCTAGAGAGCTGAGAGAGAAGCAATATAGGAAATTTAAAGAGCCTCTTATATAGTATAGAGAGCGATTAGTAACGTGTACAACAGCTGTGTTCAGTTATATGATAAGTGAATTAGAGAAGTGTTGAGTTTGCAGAGATTAGTGTGCAAGGGGAGTGTGCAGTGTGCCTACTACAGGAGGTAGTGGTAGAAGTGGTGGAAGAAGTGTGGTGGTGAAGGTGATCAGTGTGGCACATACAGTGTAGGTCATGCCGCTCTTTGGCTCCAAGAAGGAGGTAGCCAAAAAGTCTACCAAGAAGGAGAAAGAAGAAGGAAAGATGCCTTCCGTAGAAGACAAATACCTGCTTAAGGATCTTCTTGGAACGTGAGTAGACATCTTTCTTGAATAATACTAGTGTGTAAATACACAGATGTTTATATATATATATATATATATATATATATATATATATATATATATATATATATATATATATATATATATATATATATATATATATATATATATATATATTATCGCAATGATTTGATGGTAAACTAACTTGAATATCTATACCAAAGTTTCATGAAGCAGTTATTAGCTTCTTGTGCTGTAAAAAGGGGATGTCACCTGTCGGAAAGTAGAAGTCAGGTGGGTGCCTTAGGGTAAGCTTGAGGCTCAGTATACACGGTCACTCACTATATCCGGTATCCACTGTCTAGAGGAAATGATGAAAGTGGGGATGTTATTTATATCAGTGGATTCTGTTTCAAAACTGAGCTCATGAGGATGATATATGGAGGTAGAAACATCTCAGTGAATAGGTTGATTCCTCGTATGTTAAGTAAAGCTTCCCTTTCCTGTTTATATCCATTGTTTTAGTTATCACAGAACCTGGTGTTCAGATCCTAACTTCTAAACTGTGAGGACCTGAACACTGAAGAAGTTTTCACTGAGGCATTTTGGTAGATATAAAGATAAGAGGGAGAAATGGACGAACAAGAAACACTAGAGAAAGTTATGACAAAAGCGGGAGGTAAGAGAACTCCTAGGACGTTAGGAACAATTGAAGTGTTTTACCATTGTTGTTACGAGATGGGACCAGAGAAACTATGTGACTCTTTAACACAAATCTTCCAGAAGCTAGAAACAGAGCAGCTGTTGAACACCTTAAAAACTACAAATGTGAGTCTCTTGATCTAGGGAATTGGATCTGTGCTCCAGTTCCTCAAATTAAGCCTGAGTATCTTCCACATGCCCCCACAGGCGCTGTATAGTCCTACGGGTTTAGCGCTTCCCCTTGATTATAATAATAATAATACAAATGTGAGCCAAATATATATATAAATATATAAAACGAAACTTGCATGGAGTGCTAAACTATAGACCAGTTTTGCTGACTAGGATGTTGACTAGGGTCTTAGAAAACATAGCGAAATAGAGAACAACCAGCACGAGTTCAGAGTTTTTAAATCTTGTCTTGTGAAATTTTTTGAATTCTATGATACAATAACATAAATATATGAAAGAGAGAGAGAGAGAGAGAGAGAGAGAGAGAGAGAGAGAGAGAGACAGACAGACAGACAGACAGACAGACTGCATCTTCCTAGACAAAATACCACACAGGAGACTTAAACTGGAAAAACAGATCATAAGAATAAAAGATGGGCTAATGATAAGGAAGGTACGTGATTCGGGACTGTTATCCTTAAGGGTCCTTAAGGATCTGCGCTTGGACCTCTTTTGTTTTTATAATGCACAAGTGACCTCCCAGAGAACATTAAATCCTTTGTATCACTGTTCATGGATAACGTGACAGTAACGAAGATACTGATAACTGGCGCTGCTGCAGGAGGACCTGAAAATGATAGAGATGTGGTCAGGAATGTAAAGTAGCTACGAGTAATTAATCATGATAATTACAAAGTAATGAGAATATGGAGGTAAAAAGGGTCAGACACAGAGCTTAATGGTACAGGAGAGAGACACTATAGACAACAACGGCAAGGTATAAAGATCTGGTGACATGCACCAAACACTGCTTGATGCATATCACAGTTGATATGCGGTTTACATAAAAATTACGGCACATGCAGAATTTATCAGCATATGCATAATTATTCACTCTAAAAACTGTTTTTTGAGAACCTTAAGAAAAACATATTTAGCGGTCTATTTAGAACTTAACATTGGTCCTATATTAGAGTATTCTGTTCTAATATCGTGTCTCTCGCAATCAAGTATACAAGAAACTTTAATATCCATCGATTCCCGACGAGACTGTTGAAGGGACAGAAGGGAAGGAATGGGAGACATGGACTGTGAGGAGAGTCTCTGGGAGCTCCACCTAACAACAGTAAAAGAGAGAATCACCAGGGTGACAGGCATGAGTATTTAATAATATAAAATAAAAATACCTTTATTTACTACAAGTACATGTTCAAGGTATACAGACAGACATAGATGTAACTCACAGCACCGTATCATCCTTTGCAGACGATACTAGGCTCTGCATGAGCCTGTCGTCTGTTGAAGGATCTGCATGAGGCTGTCATCTGCTGAGGACGCGGTTAACCTCCAAGAAGATATAAACAAAGTTTTCCAGTGGGCAACGGTAAACAATATGATGTTCAATGAGGACAAATTCCAACTACTCCGTTATGGAAAACTGGAGGAGATAATAACTAGAACAGAGTATACTACTGACTCCGGCCATACAATAGAGCGGAAAAATAATGTAAGGGACCTGGGAGTAGTAATGTCCGAGGATCTCACTTTCAAGGATCACAACAGTGCCACGATCACAAGTGCAAAGAAAACGATAGGATGGATAATGAGAACGTTCAAAACGAGAGATGCCAAGCCAATGATGATCCTTTTCAAATCACTTGTTCTCTCTAGGCTAGAATACTGCTGTACATTAACATCTCCGTTTAAAGCAGGTGAAATTGCAGATCTAGAGAGTGTACAGAGATCCTTTACTGCACGTATAAGTTCTGTCAAGCACCTTAGCTACTGGGAACGCTTGGAAGCACTTGACTTGTACTCGTTGGAACGCAGGAGAGAGATATATCGTAATCTATACTTGGAAAATCCTGGAAGGAATGGTCCCGAATCTGCACACAGAAATCGCTCCTTACGAAAGTAAAAGACTGGTCAGGCGATGCAAAATACCTCCAGTTAAAAGTAGGGGCGCCATTGGTACACTGAGAGAAAACACCATAAGTGTCCGGGGCCCAAGACAGTTCAACAGCCTCCCATCAAGCATTAGGGGAATTACCAATAAACGCCTGACTGCCTTCAAGAGAGAGCTGGACAGATACCTAAAGTCAGTGCCGGATCAGCCGGGCTGTGATTTGTACGTTGGACTGCGTGCGGCCAGCAGTAACAGCCTAGTTAATCAGGCCCTGATCCACCGGGAGGCCTGGTCGTGGACCGGGCCGCGGGGGCATTGATCCCCGGAATAACATCCAGGTAGATTCCAGGCAGGTAGACATCAGTGACATACTACTATATAGAAAGCCCTTTGTTATGCAGAACATTTCGGGCAAATTAGGTCAGTTTTGTATCAGGATGCGACCCACACCAGTCCACTAACACCCAGATACCCATTTTAAACTGATGGGTGAACAGGGACAGGGAAAGCAGGTGTCTTACGGAAACACGTCCCTAATGTTTTCGAGCCGTACTGGAGAAGATTGGAACCCCAGACCTCAGTGCGAGCTGAGTGCGCCAGCGATCCAGCTACGGGACATGCACAGTATATCCTGCCCATATCATGGAACAGATAGCGGACAGGATGTTTAAGTTGCGAGAAGAGCCAAGAGATAGATAATAGCTAATGTTACAAATAACGAACAAACATATTAGGAAATACTCTTCTGTCAGTTCATCTCTTAATATTTCGAAGATCATCGCTCAAGGTGGTAAGCTGAATAAAATTCAACGAAGAGGAGATTGGAAGCAAACATCATATATAGTTTCACGAATACTTATGACTGGTCCCTCCAGGCCAGGATCAGCAAAGATAATTATCTTAACTCTTACCAATTATAATTGCTAAAAGTTAAGAGGCGAGCCCAGGAGCAAACTCAAACGTGGTGATAACATACATCTAAGCATGAACACAGTGGGCAGCGTGACGTGAAAAATAAGATATTAGACAAACGAAGACTTAATATAAAATTAAGAACATTGTGACAGAGTCAGTGTCGGACACAAGGAAAGTCTCAAGCGGAGTAATGCAAGGATCTTCTCGTGCTCTACTATGTTTTTCATACAGTGTCAACAGTCACCCATTAGGCACTGAGTCGTAAATTTAATATTCATACACGGTGACATATTTATGAGAATCGCCTTGAAGTGAACTTCAAGACGACCTTGACCAGTCACGCTGAGGGCTGGAAAAAGTGGTTGCTAGGACTCAACCTGTGTAAATATGAATAATGTAAAACGGGAGAAAATTTCCGGGAGACCGAACAATGTAGAACGTGAGTAATAACGTGACACCAGACACAGTGAACCACATGGATGAAGAACCAGAGACCAGACACAGTGAACCACATGGATGAAGAACCAGAGACCAGACAGTGAACCACATGCATGAAAAACCAGAGACCAGAAACAGTGTACCATATGCTTGAAGAACCAGAGACCAGACAGTGAACTACATGCATGAAGAACCAGAGACCAGAAACAGTGTACCAAATGCTTGACAAACCAGAGACCAGACAGTGAACCACATGCATGAAGAACCAGGGACCAGACAGTGAACCACTTGTATGAAGAACCAGAGACCAGAAACAGTGAACCACATGCATGAAGAACCAGAGACCAGAAACAGTGTACCACATGCAAGAAGAACCAGAGACCAGACAGTGAACCACATGGATGAAGAACCAGAGACCAGACACAGTGAACCACATGGATGAAGAACAAGAGACCAGACACAGTGAACCACATGGATGAAGAACCAGAGACCAGACACAGTGAACCACATGGATGAAGAACCAGAGACCAGACACAGTGAACCACATGGATGAAGAACCAGAGACCAGACACAGTGAACCACATGCATGAAGAACCAGAGACCAGACACAGTGAACCACATGCATGAAGAACCAGAGACCAGAAACAGTGTACCACATGCTTGAAGAACCAGAGACCAGACAGTGAACCACATGCATGAAGAACCAGGGACCAGACAGTGAACCACATGCATGAAAAACCAGAGACCAGAAACAGTGTACCACATGCTTGAAGAACCAGAGACCAGACAGTGAACCACATGCATGAAGAACCAGGGACCAGACAGTGAACCACATGTATGATGAACCAGAGACCAGAAACAGTGTACCACATGCATGAAGAACCAGAGACCAGAC